CAACTTCAAAGAAATGTGGATTGCGGAGTATTTGCGATCGCATTTGCGACGACATTGATATATGGATTGAATCCAACGCATGTTACCTATGACTATGAGGTCATGCGTGATCATTTATTAGAGATTTTCATAACAGAAAACATTCAACACTTTCCTATAACTGACAATTGCCGCGTAGATATTCCAAACTTGCAACAGCATTTGGCTTCTGAAATCGATGCGCTAGTAGAACGATTCCTTGAAGCCGGTTGCAATAATTAGAACGGTTTTCCTCCTCAGCACAATTAACCCTATGAGTAACGGAATGTTTCAGAACACTGCCGAAGGCGAAATTATATGTAGTAATAATGTAGTCGCTTGGAGATAACCCAGCATATTTTAATAGCGCTGTGAAAGTAATCTATCTGTCGAGTAGAGTAACCAGGATCTTCCCAAAAAATTCGAGGAATTGAAAAATGAAGAGGTAGTTCGGCCTTCAATTATCGCGTATATTATCTTGGACGAGCCTGGTCGTGCTACAAGCATACCGTCCTTTTTTCACCTGAAAAGGCGATCAACCGAAAGATACGTTAACGGCTCAACAATAATCTCGGATGCATATTGTCACGAATACCGTCAACTTCTCGGGGATAGTTCCTAATCAAGTAGATTATTTCGAATAAAAGCTAGTATTAGCTTGGAAGCACGACTGAAAAGAGCAAAAATTGAAGATGGAACTTCACGATTCCCAAATTCTAGCTTGAATAAATGGAATGAGGAAAGACGAATTTACTGTTTGCAATTATCGATAAGAAACATCATGTTCATAATAAAAACAAGTCATTGGTGGATGAATATAGGAGTTAAAAAATTCATAATCATTCAGGAATAGAATCAATTGCCTGCGCCTGAATTCATTGGTACGCAATTCCCTCCAAAAATAGCAAAAATTGAATCGTCTGCTGAATGCTCAGATATTAGATCACTAAATTTTCATCTTCGTCTGAGATTATATAACCAATGAAAGTAAGGAGGTCAACGCCGATGAATGCACTGTAGAACTAAGGGAAAACTGAGCGAACGCAGACAAATCTCAGACGAACATGATCATTTACTATTTTTTATGATATTATGAAACATCCGCCATTAAAAGATCAATCTCTTTCCTCATTCCAAGTATTTCTCCAAAAGCCAGTGAAAATTAATTTGAAAAGTAGTTGCAAGAAGTACTCGATGAAAAAAATTAGCAGTGACATGATAACACTCAAGAAGGAGAAAACAGATGGTCCGACAATGTTTCGAAAGTCACTTAAAGAGACAAAGCATGAAGAATTGTCATCCTGGCTATTTCACAATTCTGCAGTGTATTCATCGGCTTATTACCTTCTTACTTTCAGTGGTTATAATTAGCATGTACTTCATAATGTTTTATATCTTTGACTTGTATTCATTTGAAACTTTATTATTTCAGAGGATAAAGGTTTCCAGCAGTAAGGTGAGGGAGGCGAAAGCCATTTATGGGGCACTACTCCTAGGCTCCGCCTTTTCTATCCGCAGTGGTATCGAGAATTGGGCGGAGCTTCGTTTGGACTATAATAAGTGAAGATCTGCAACAAGTGAATAAAGACATCAATAAAAAGAAACACTCATTTTCATGATGCCATAATTTGTTTTTGTAATTCATTCCTTCCCCACTTCCCGTCAGTTATTCCCTTCGGTTTTTCGTGGAAAATTAATAAGTACAAATCAACTCACCCCCTAAATCACTTGACCTCGAAGTTCGCTGATTTCCAACTGCAAAAAAAATTACCATTGCATATCTGATAGAAGAATAATAGAATTAAAAAAAAAAACATCAATACATTCGACATAACGAATTTTAATCGTAATGAATCCTACATATGGTATTATTTAAAGTGAAAACGGATTTGATACATCTAATAATTTCGGAAACCCCCTTCACACGGAATATCTCTCTCTAGAATAGAACAATTCAAAATCAAAGAATAATCACATTTTAAACTTCGTAAAATCTTGTCGTGATATTTTTTTATTCTTACATTTTCTCCCCAGGTAATGAAAAATCCGTTGAGACAGCTCCCCACTTTGGCAAGCTCTCTTGTTCTCATGAATAATACAACCGACGAACTCAAAAATGTCACGATTTTAGAATTAGAAAATCTTCTCGTGATGATTTTTCGTTTTTTTTGCCAACTCTTATTGCATGTTTTATGCAATACTAATTTCTATAAAAATTATCAGCATGGAGTCTTTCCCAAACTAATTAACTGAATTTCGAAAAAATGAGCGTAAAATATTCTGTATTCCGGAAGATTAACGTTAGGACAATTCAAAATAGTTTTCCATAGTTTCGCTGACGATAAATGCCGAAATTTACAAAACTGTCATCTTTAACATAGAATATCTTTTAAAGAAGTTATGATATTATTGCGAGAGTTCACTCAAGGTCATAACTGACACCATCATCTTATAGAGCAATATAATAATTCTCATAATTCAAACTTAATGGGGATTCCCTGGGAATGACTCGACTACAGAAATACGAATCAGAAATACTGAGGAGATATATTGAAAGGCTCAAACTTCTTCCAGGTAAATGAATATTTGGCAAAAAGAATTTTTTGCTGAGTGTTCAAAATACTTTAATTACGAAAATTGAGGACTACGGAATAACAAAGGCGCTCACATTACGATTGGAACAACAGTGATTTAGGAGATTTGTTTTTTTATAATTTGATGATTTTTCTAAAAGATATTGGAAGTCAAAGACAAAAATTTTGAAAATCCCGATAGTTCTCATCAGTGAAACAATCGAAAAGCCTTTTGAATCATCCTCACGTTAATATTTCAGAATAAGTTATAATTTGATAAAATTGATAAAAATCTGCATTGCATATAAAATGAAATAACAGTTGAGAAATATAATTAAAAAACATCAGATAAAGATATTTTATTTTTTTTTTAAGTGACAATTTTTGTTTTCGTGATTACATTCTTCATGGATACAGTATAGCTTGCCAAAGCGTCAAGGTGTATCAACGGATTAATCAGTCACTGAAAATCAGAAAAAAAATAAAATACTATCAGGACGAAGATTTCTAAAGTTAAAAATGTGACTATTGTTTTATATGAAATTCTGGGGGGAGTAATTCCGTGTCAAGGGTTTTAAAAAGTTTTGACGCGTATAAAATCGTTGTTTTTTTTAAATAACAGATTTTACATTCATCACGATAAAATTTCCTTGTGTTGAATATACTGATTTTTTTTTTACAATTAGATTATAGTTTTATCAGATATGCCGTGTTAAATTTTTTTTTGTGGAAAATCAGCGAACTTCAAGGTCATTGAGTCACTCTAAATACTGGCGTAATTTTTTTTAAAAAACCGTACCAGCCAATGTTTAAAACGAGTTGTTGCAAAGGAGCTCCGTGGAGTTTGTTGACTCCATCTTTTTCCCGGAGTTTCGTCTAAAAAACATTATGAGGTAAAACAAATATTACTATTATTGGGGAATAAATTCCCCATCGAGCGTCCTCAGTTTCACCCCTTAACATTGATTAGGGAAGGAGTTGTAGCTCAGGAGCTCCGCGGATTTTGGTGACTCCGTCATTTTCCCCGGGATTTTCATGGAAGAAAAATTATCATTGAACGGCAAAATTAATATTAATCGATCTGGATTTTAGTCCCCCAATTTCATCCCTTATCATTAATTACGGGAGGAGTTATGTTTGAGGAGTTACACAGTTTTGGATAACTGTGTCATTTTCCGCATGATTTTTATTAAAAAAAAAAATTGAAAGGGAAAACAGAGATTATTCGATGAGGAATTCAACCCCATATTAAACTAATCCGTTAATTTTACTTTTGGGAGGAGTTGCGGTTGAGGAACTCGGCGGATTTCGGCGACTCCGTCATTTTTCCCGGGATTTTCGATTAAAAAAAAATTATCATGGAAAGGTAAAATAAATATCAATGGATGGTGAATTTAATGCCCCGTCGATCGCTCTCTATTTCATCGCCTAACATTGATTAGAGGAGGAGTTGCGGCTGAGGAGCTCGGTGGATTTCGGCGACTCCGTCATTTCTCCCGGATTTTCATTAAAAAAAACATTTTGCGGTAAAATGAATATTAATCGATGGAGAATTTACTGCCTCATCGATCGCTCTATATTTCATCCCCTAACATTGATTAGGGGGCGCGTTATTGTTGAGGAGCTCCACGGATTGTGATGACTCCGTCATTTTGACCCCCAGGTACTTAGCCGACATCGGGCATCAATTAGAAAAACGATCTCCTGTACTCGATTGTACATTGTTAGTACATGATGGTACAGTGAAAATAGTTGTTTGTACATTCATCATAAAATTAATGTATGTAATGTACACTCAAACGATTGAGAATCGTCTGAAACGTGGAGATTTATTGCTCCCTCGGAACTTTTTTTTTAAACAATATCTTTTTTGTTAAATAATTCAAAAATGATTAAACAAATTGGAGAAAAATTGTCTCGCGAATATATATTCAAACGATTGGGAATCGTCTGAAACGTCGAGATTTATTGGTCCCTCGGAACTTTTTTTTTAAACGATATCTTTTTTGTTAACTAATTCAAAAATGATTAAACAAATTGGGAAAAATTGCCTCGCGAATATACATTCAAACGATTGGGAATCGTCTGAAACGTTGAGATTTATTGGTCCCTCGGAACTTTCTTTTTAAACGATATCTTTTTTGTTAAATAATTCAAAACAGTTTCACCAAATACTCATGAGTGTATAATAATACTATTACCAATATATGAGATTCCAAACGTTATAATCTCGTCTCTCGAAATTGTGTCATTAATAAATGATCTGCAATTTTTTTTGAATCAATGGATACGTATTGTTGAATTTATATAAATTTAAATGAAGGATCACTGGCTATCTTGACAGATTTGACACTGCAAACCGCGATGTAACTAATTGCACTAATTTTTAAAAATGAGGGATGTTTATAGTCAGTTGGATATTACGTTCAGGAACAATTTTAAAATTTCGCCACCCTCGTGCGAAACGAACTGGTGTTTCCTCACCCATGTGAGGACGTTGACTGCATCCACTTGCAGTTTTTCTCCGGGATAGGGAATGTCATTTAACGATATTCCTGTTGAGCTTGCACTGGAGCCGTTGAATACGACTCTCAGTTTTGTGGTGACTGCATCGTCTCTCAGAACCCCATGGTGCGGTAGATAATAGGCTGGGGATGGTTCTGGAGTCTCTGGTGCTTCTTGAAGGTGATTTAACTGTTGATACTCGTTGATGAAGGCTTTGTAGAGGGCTGAATGCGCCTCATCTTTTTGTAGACGTCTCATTACCGAGTGTAGTTGACGTGTTGCTTTGAGCCTCGAGTCGCCGAGGGCTGTTGCTGAGGTTTTCAGGGGGAGCCTCACAACATAGCGCCCCGTCTCGTCTCTTGAGTGCGTTGATTTGAAGTGCATCTCGCACTGGTGATCCTCTGGTGATAGCTCATGGCACTCCATTGAATTGTTGATTTCTTCCTGGACCCAGAATTTTTGGAGAAGCTCGAGTAGCTGTTCGTTCGCGGAATTCCGTACTGCAGTTGAGGAGATTCTCGGTGAACAGCTGTGGCAATTGATTGGACCTGATATTATCAAACCAAATGCTGTTTGTTGGCCAACTAGTTGAGTTGATGTTGACTTGATGACTTTTTCTTTGATGATCCGCCCATAGTTGTCTGATCCGATGATGATATCGATTGGTCCAGGCTTTAGATAATCTGGATCGGCCAGTTGAAAATCCTGTAGTGAGCCGATTCGCGTCGTTGAGCATGAGAATGATGGCAGTCGTGTGGTGAGTTTTTTCAATATGTGTGCGGTGATTTCAACTCGTTGATTTCCCATATTTGATTGAAGCACGACTGACACGACTCCTCTCGTTGTCCTTGAAGGTGTTCCACCGATTCCGATTAGTTCGAGCGTTGAATGTGCTCGTTTCAGGTGGAGTTGATGGACTAGATTGTCGGTGATGAACGATATTTCCGAGCCTTGATCGATTAACACCCTGGCATCGATCGAGTATCCTCGTGGTGATGCTGCTTTTACTAGTGCCGTTACTAGCAGCACAGATGGTTGTGTTGAATGCCGTTGATTGTTGATGATGGATGATGATGGATGATTCTCGTTGATTTTCTCATGTGCACCGATCCGATGGTTGTTGACGTTAGCTGATGCCGTTGATTTCTGCTGTTGAGTTGATTCTTCAACTTGGCTCAGGGGGGCGTAAATCCCCTCAGTGGTTGTTGAATCGGTTGATTTCGTTGATTGATGTGCCGTTGGTTTAACGGATCAGTGAGACGGAGGGCGGGTGGTGAAAATATAATTGAAATTCACTCACTCGATTCCTCTGCCGTTGATGTGGACGCTGGAGTTGTTGAGTTCAGTTTCTCCAGCTTCTCGACGTCTTCCATGAGGTCAACGTGTCCTCCATGGATCAAGATGTGGTGTCTTTTTTCCTGCCCAGCAGCTTTGCATTTGTAGCAAGTTTTCCGGCAGGTACACTTGCTGTGAAGATGAGGTCCCAAGCAGTTGAAGCACAACCGCTTGTTTGCGACAACGTCGAATCGTTTGATTGGTGAGAGCGCAATGAATTTCTCGCAACTTGCGATGTAATGTCCTCCCTGGCAGAAGGCGCAGCAATTTCTCGGGAGGGGCCTCGTTGAGGTCTCTGGGTCCTCTCCGTCGTTGAGGCCACGTGTGCGATTCTTCTCCTGTTCGATACAGGCGTTGATCTCTGCGTTGAGCTGCTGGTCGTTGAGTGGAGCTTGTCTCCAGAGTTGATTCCCCTGGCACACGACTCGATGAAGTTGGTGAACTCCTCCAGCGTTGGGAAGTCCTTACTTTCTCCGAGTTTCAACTCCCACATCTTCAGATTCTCGGAGTCGAGCGATTGTCTTAGTAGATGGACAATCATCTGCTCGAGTAGCTTTGATGTGTTGAGCTTTGTCATTTGCGGCAGCTGGTCGAGGGTTTCGGTTGCAGCTGCTGCGTTCGCGGTGAGGTTCTCTGCCGTGGCCTTGTTGATCTTGGGGTGCTTCAGCACTCTATTAAATAGCGCTTGAGCAATCAGTCGTGGATCCACGTATTTCTTGACAAGTGTCGTCCACGCCCTTTCATAATTTTCTTCGGTGATACTGAAGGTTGATATGAGTGCTGCTGCTGATCCTTTCAGCAGGCCCTTGAGGCGAGCCAGCTTTTGGACTCCTGGCATGTTGGGGTCACTCCCGACCATTGAGAGATATAGATCACTCCAGTTTTTCCACTCGGAGTATCTGCCATCGAATGTGTTAAGTTCGATCCTCTTAAGTTGATTGCCCGATTGTTGAGCTGGTTGAGCAGGTGGTGTTGATTTTTCTGCGAGTTCCCTTTTTTTGGTGAGGCCCTTAAGTTGATAAATGAGCGCTATGCTCGCTGTTTTTACCTGCTCCGCTCGTTCGTGAAGACTGTGGGTGAAGAAATCGTGATCTGCTGGCAAGAATTCGATTACCCTGTCTTCTAATTTCTGGAACTCGCTCCAGTTTTTGTTGTTGGTTGATGCTCCTTGTTGATGTCCTCTGTGTGAGTGATAAGCAATTCAGGGATGATTCCCTGAGTCTCAGACTCCTCAAACGTCTCCTCTATCTCACCCTGTTCTGATGACATGTTGATGTTCTTGGTTACCGACCGGAGGTGATTGACGGGTAGATAAGTTGAAGGTCGATTGAGCGGTCGATAATTTGTCACCGATGAGAACGATAGAAAGAGACAGACGTATCTGCCCTTGGGTGAGGATTATCCGTGCGGCTAACTGAGCGCGGTTGTTTTGAGGTGTCGGATTACTTGCCTCGAAGGTCCGTTCGTCACAAACACCGATTGTATGAATTTTATTGCTTTTGAAAGTTGAGTTGCTCGTGTGAACCCCGAAATTGTTCAGCACGAGCCGTCCTTTTGATTTTCACTTTAGCGTCACTCGATTTTTTCACAAATTGTTCGTTGATTTTCACGTTTTCACTGACTCTAATTCCTGAATCCGGCTCGAAGGACCATATGTTTGTTGAGGTAACAGTCGAGTAGGGTGGATTGGAAGAAGGTCAGGGAAATCTGGTGACTGTGTAAAAAATATAATAACTCGCGAAATTATCACACACAACGATTATCCCTTTACTAAAACGCGTGGTCAATTTAATGCGGTTTTTACAATAATTTACACGTTGAGTTTAGGTGATGTACAAATTAAAGCTGAATTAATAGTTGAATATGTTGAGAAATAAGTTGAATTAGTTGAATGGATAGTTGATTTAGTAGTTGATTTTACTAGGTGAGTTTCGTTGAGTTTACGGTGAGGTTTAGATTAGATGTTAGCCCATTCACTGCTTGATACGAACAGAATGTCGAGGGGGGGTGATGGTGATTTTGATGGTTTGGAGATGACCGTTGACCGACGGGGCACGATCATTTCCGGGTTTTCCCGATCGATCTGGTGAAAGGCCACCCATATTTTTCTCCATTTTAAACAGACATTTATTTTAGACAATCAAATTTCCTTCAAAAAGTTTCCCTTTGTTTCCCTCTCTAAATGTGATAGTTTATGAGATATTAAGGATGTTACCCTTTCAAATGAGCAACCGCGTCGGAAAATGACATAAAAAAATTCGAATAAATCAGTTACGATATAAATAATGTTTTCTACTAATTTACAAGCCTCATGGCACACTTTTCGGTTTAGATTATGAAGAAATGTGGAAAATGTTTATAAATATTCACGTATGACTGACTACGGTAGTAACGCTAGAGTTTTGATCGTGCGACACCGCATTTAGCGAGGTGCTCCGCCATCATTGTTTCATCGTCATTTACCTTGCCGACATTGCTCAGCTGTAAGAGCAACGTTGTCAATATTTTACAATCATAATGGCGGTCGCTTTTTCTCAGATTTTTTCGAAAATCAATCACAAATTTCTGGCTTATTATGGCGGGTACCATCATTTTTCTCACCGGCGATAGAATCTATATATTCTTAAAAATATTACAATGGGTTTTTTTTCAAAATTTTGAGTTTTTAAACGACCCGTTACTTTGATTGACGCACACGCCGTCACAATGCTCCCATAAGCGGATGGACAGCACATGTTGCTGTGAGTGATTTTCAAAAATTAATTTCTCGCTGGGAGCCCCCGATAGAAGGGTTGAAATTTGCATTAACGTGTAGCTCAGATATCGAATTATAATATAGGAAAGAATGAGAATAACGTAGGGTGGTCAGAGTTTTGGGTAAACATTCTTAGTAGTAAGTGGCCAGTATTGGGGAATTTCCCACGCCCCCTCCCCCCTTTTTTCCAGGAAATGGACGTGCAGGTGCAGGTGTGCCCCCCAGGGGGTATTGTGTGGATGTGCGTCTGGACACGTTCACCCCCTTTGTGCCTTGACAAAGGAATTTGACTTTTAATTGCGGATGCGCGCGCCTTTGTTATAATTTCCTTAAATGTTGCGTAATTTTGGTCAATAGACTTCCGGTCTAAGCGTGATCCCTCGTTTTTCCTTAAAGATTGCATAAGTACAATAGACATCCCGTGGAAATTGGGTGGGTGGGAAAGGGTGGAGGTTTTGTAAATTATTAACACGAGAATTATGAATGACTTTTTTTCTTTAATTGATTAGAAAATTATGAGCTACAGTTTTTACAGTGCAACATATTTAAAAGTATACACACATATAAAATTATAATATCATCGTTATCTTAGGTATAATTTTCTAGTATGAGAGCATTCGGTATGGTCCTCCGGCAAAACCATCTAGCTCGTCATAAAATAAATGATACAGCTCGCCAAATAATTGATATAAATATCCCAAATTGGCATCAGGGTTTGAGCGCTGAAGGTCATCTCTGGCCAGCAGATATATCTCCTCGAAATTATTTCCGATGCGATGGTGCAGTTCTTCAGTAACAGGCATTCTATTGTAGGACATGTAACCCATTGTAACACGTGTAATGCCCTTGACAAGAGACTCCTTGTATTCTCTCAAAGGTAGTGAATCCAAGAAATCCAGCCACTGGGTGATCCATACAGCTTTGGTTTTTAATGTTTCAATACTAGGTTTCATCAT